AAATTTATTAACTGTCTTCAATTTTCCCTTTGAAACTCATATATATTATTTCGTACATTTCTAAAGAGAATAATTCACAATTAAGATTTTATTCAAATTTAAAAATATACTTGTATACGTGAGTATATCTTTCTCTGTAATTAGCAAGCTTTGTATCTTTATACAATGATTCATGGTCACGGTCAAGTTCAATTCCAATAGTTTTTATTCTTTCTTTATCCTTTTTCTTACTAAAGAAAAAATGAGAAAAAGAATGAAAGAAAATATTGCAATACCCTAAAGGACAATACGTTTACGATTAAGACTCTAAAGAATTTCTATTCTATTTGAGAATATTTACGGATGGACAGGTAATAAAAACTTTGAAAGAAAATCTTTTCAACCCTTTTTTACCTTAAAAAATCTGACATTTTATAGGAAGACATTCTAACAATACCAAATAAGAAGCTTAGGAACAACGATGGTTCCTACAATTGTTTGCTTTATATTTCAAAGTATCTAACCTTTCCGAATTTATATCATTGTTCTCCTTAAACTGTGTGTACTGTAAGGTGTATACTGATATTATAAATCAAAATATTCGTCATATTTGATAATTAACATAAGACAATGAGAATTTTAGTTCTCTTTATTTATATGAAATTTGTATTAGATGTCACGAGGTGTTATTTCCTGTCGGATAGATAAAACTTAGATTTATTTGTGTAAAAAATTTCAAATAAAGGAGTGGCTTCTCTCACCTGGCGAAAGATCAATCACAACGAGTTAGACCTCCCGATCGAATTCCTTTCGATCGTCGTTTTCACCAAAGAACAAGAAGAACAAGAAGAACAAGAAGAAGAACAAGAAGAAGAAGAAGAACAAGAAGAAGAAGTAGCAGCAGAAGAAGATGATACCTTCCGCATGCCCGAACCTCAACGAACGTATCCTCCTCAGTCGAAATAACGTTCTATTTTCGACACGACGTTCTACACCCTCCTCCTCGTCGTCGTCTTCCTCCTCCTCTTCCTCTTCCTCCCCGTTATTATTATTCTTCTTAAGAAGGAGCTTTCCTCTGGCTAATGCCGAAGAGGGCATCTTCTCGTGTCGACCAAATGAATAAAATAACAGCGTTATTATTATATTCCTTAATTTTCAATTTTCCAATAGGGACAACAAACAAAAAGGGGTGGTACGAGAAAATAATATTGTTTTCCCCCTTATTGTGATTGAATATAAATGAAATAATCTTGCACATGCAAGCAACTCGCGGGTTAACTCTCCTTTATTAAACTCTTCAATCCGCCATCACCATTTGAACGCGCGCACCATAATATCTTCACGAGTTAACTTTGATATTTCTCGCGAATTCACTTTGAACGAACAAACAATAATAACTAAATATCTAGTCTTTACATTCTGATAGACAGAATTAACTGACAGAGAAACTAAGAAATAAAGAAACAAAGAAAGAAACGGAAAATGAGAGAATGAAAGAGAATGAAAGAGAAAGAGAAAGAAAGAGAAAGAGAGAGGAATAATATAAAATAAAGGCTAGTCGAGGAGAGTAGTATATCGTGAGAGACCGTTGGTGCCTTCCACCTTCACAGCCAGCTTCGTTCTGCCTTGGAATGTGCCTTTGCCCCCTTGCCCTCTTCACTCTCTCTCTCTCTCTCTCTCCCTCTCTTTTTATGTCTCTTTCTCTCTCATTCATTCTTTCTTGAAAGCGAGTTCGAGAGCGAGAGGACCCAAGGGCCCCGGCGGACTCCTCGTCACCCCCACTCTTCTTACTTTCTTTGCAGAGTGGGGCAAGAGCTTCGGGACCGAGCCTCCAATCGCACCCACCCACTCCTATTTCTCCTTCTCTTTTAAGTTGGGACTCGATGGATATGGTAGATCCTTTCTGCCCTAACACGTTAAAAAGCAGGGCCGTATTAACGTATTACCCGTGTCACCTTTCATGGAACAGGTGCCGTCCCCTGTTCTTCAACCCAACTGAACAAACGGCTCTTTCACAGCCCGTTACACATTTTTTTTCTGTTGCGTATTTTGCATTTACGCATGTATATATATATGGGTATATATTTTAGGATGTATCAAAAGTTCCTGCGCTTTTTTTTCTGTTATTTTCTCAAAGTATGTTTTACATAAACAACAATCCTCTATGCAGTTTATAACACAATAAATGCACGAACTTTTGGTTTCACCTTAATAGGTATGATCTA